AACTATCGTTTAGTTAGTATTTGCAGATATTATGCCACAAACAAACAAAAAACAGGAATGACCAGAGTCTTGGAATTAAAAGATAAATTTTGCCACTAATCAGACCCAATGCAGCAAAGAAACAAGATAAAAATCCAGCCATTGTAATATGATCACCATCTATTCCTGATCTAAAAACCTGGGGAAATGGGCTATTTTGATGCTATTCCTTGGTGAATTTTAGCCATTTTAAAGAACATACCAGTCCGTATCACTATCACAGTGCAGTGACCCAGTCATTTTCCACTGGTAAGGTAAACAGAAGAAAGAAAATTAAAAAGATAGAGAGAAGTGAGTGAAGAAACACCCCAGAACTTCCTGACCTTTTGATTTTGCACTGCCTACTCGTCTCTCCTATTTTAAAAAATATTTCCATCTGAATAAACCCCATTAGGAGTAAAAAAAACCCTAACCCAGAACATTCATCTTGTGGGAAAAAGGAGTTTAAAATTTCTAGTATCTGTGCCTATGTCTTTTTAGCTTCTTCAATGGGCAAATACTATGGGCAGAAACATATTTATCTGATGTACTAATAACTATTATGAAAATATTGTAATTGATAATGGTAGGGCTGTCAACCACCAGGTGGGCCCTGGAGATCTCCTGGAATTACAACTCATCTCTGGAATACAGAGATCAGGCCCACTGGAGAAAGGGCTGTTTTGGAGGGTAGACCCTGTGGCATAATTCTCCACCCTCTCTTCCCAAAGCTCCACCTCCCCAGGCTCCACCCCCCAGATCTCTAGGAATTTTCTAACCCAGAGATGGCAACCCTACATAGCGGAGAGGTATTTAACATTTGTGAGATAAACTAAAGCAATAATGGTAAAAGGATAAAGTATTTTAAAAACAGGTTAATGTACAGAAAAGAAATTATTTTCCTAAGAAAAACTTACCCCTCCAATGCTACTATGTGAATTTTGATGTTGAATAGCCATTGAATTTCAACTGTTTGTCAGATATCTGTCATTATGTATGCCACCTTCATCACAGAAAATGCAGCCTAGATACGTAAAGGTTGCACATTGTTAGGAGTGCATGGAACAAGTGACAGCTTTTCCTAGCAATGCTAAATGAACAGGTTTGGCTTGTGGCTGTAGGCATCCTGACTAATTCCTGGGGGTCCTTGACTGACACCCTGATAGCCAGATTCTAGGAGTCACAAGGCTTCTCTCTGGGATGCCTGTTCTGTTCTGAGTGTCATGATTGGATTAGGTGCAGTCCTGCCTTTTCAGCTGAACTTTGCCTTTTGTCTATGTGATGGCCAGAAACAAGTTTAGTGATACAAAAATGGGGGGGGGGGCTGGTTCTGACACCAAAATGGGTGTCGGGACTTACACAGACTGTGGGCTTCTTGGCATCAAAGTACTATTCCTAATAAAGGTGTAACATTTTGAAAAACATTTATTGCATGCCTTGAAAAAATCATTTTCAAATGAGTTCTGTATTGAGCGGCTTTGCCTTGCAGCTGTGAAGGCCTTTGATTTTTCTGACCTCGTTATCAATATGTGTTTGAAGGGTGTGTGATCTGTTGCACGTTGAAATGTATGTTTATCTTGCAAGAGTATAACAGGAATTCTGTACTGTGGATTCCCACGGGAAAATTTATTTTTGTAAGGTTTCTTATTAAAAGTTTGCAGGACTATATTTTGGATAGTTCATATTTGGCTCCAGAGGAGAACATTTTCAAGGGTTTCAGTTCAGTTTAGTTGATTATAATTAGCCATTGGCCATTACAAAATTACAAAACACAAATTGTGAACTAACTATAGGTTAGAGTCAGAACATACAAAAATACCAAAGATCGTTAACAAAATATGACTAATTTAATACAGTAGCCTAAATAATACCCCTTCCCGATGCCACCTTGGAACATATATTCTTTGCAGCAAGGGCAAGCATTTGCAAGGGGAAATGTGTACTGATGTGCAACTACTGTATTGACCCAGCAGTTTTGGAAGCTGTTGTACAGATGTGCCCTCAGTTTGAATCTAGTATGCATTCCCATGTGGTGACAATGCAGTGTGCCCTTCAGCTGCCATGTAGTTTGGGTGGGTTCTTCCTTCCACCCCATGCCAGTGCCTCATTTGATTGAAGTATGCTTTGCGTTAAGATCCAACAGCATCAATTTATGATGCTCTTTTAAGAGTCACTGAAGACTTCAATATTATATTAGTAGTCTGTAACCATTCTCGGCACCCAGACAAGTCTAAAGCAGAATGTTTCGATTAGGGTGGGTGTTTGTTTGTTTTTTTGGTAATTAAAGATACTGCCCCAAAGATAACATTGAAGAATGCAAAACTTTCAAGTTCACAGTGTGATGATCATAGTGACTAAAAGGTATCATAGTGAGAATGTGGCTTGCTTTCTGTTTGTCTTTAAATGCTTTGTATTTTTGGGTAGTATTCTTTGGCATTATGTGGATTTGTACTGTTTCTGTTTAAGAATGATCTTTACAGCCTTTTGCCCTGGATCTGCACATTCTCTTCAACCTACTGTGTGTGTGTGTGTTCAGGGAATTAATGAGGCAAGGGATTTTAGCAGACAACTGCTAAGGTCTCAGTGGCTTTCCCCCTTTTTTCATAAGACTTTTTTTAAAAGATGGTTTTTCAACAAATCTAGTACATGGTGTGTAGATGTCAACTCCTGCATAAATGTTCATGTCTTCATGATAAAGAATGGAGTGTATGCTACAATAGGAGCCTTTGGGCCTAGACTACATAATAGGGTTCTGTGGCTTGTCTATGTCACACTGTGATGGCACCTGGGTTTTGGCAACTGTGTGACACAGAGTGTTGGACTGAATGGGCCACTGGCCTGATCCAACATGACTTCTCTTATGTTCTCATGAAGCTGGGAAAAACAATTCTTTCTGTTAATATTTACTTCAGTGTCCATAGTCTTAAGAGTCTATGTAAAGGCAAAGGCATGTATCAAAACCTCTATTTAGAAACTAAGTAATGTGTATGAACTAGATGCAAATGTAGGTAGAACTAAGGTTCTGTTGTGGAGAGGATACAATAGAATTTGCAGACTTAACAGCTCCCAGGGACAGATTTGCAGAGCAAGATAAGGACTGGGGTACAAGGACCATCAGAGGGGCAGGAGACTGTACTTGCTGTACAAACAGCTGAAGGACTGTGAAGGGTTAATTCTTCACAGAAATAGAGGGGGGGAGGAGATTGGATTTATACTCCACCCTTCATTACTCGAAGGAGTCTCAGAGTGGCTTACATCTCCTTTCCCTTCTGCTCTCCACAACAGACACCCTGTGAGGTAGTTCTGTCAGTGCTGTTTTTGAAAAACCGTAGTTTCTGTCAGAGCTCTCTCAGCCTCAACTACCTCACAGGGTGTCTGTTGTGGGGAGGGCAAGGGAAAGGAGTTTGTAAGCTGCTCTGAGACTCCGAGTGAAGGGCGGGGTAAAAATCCAATCTCCTCCTCCTCCTCTTCTTCGGGGCTGAGAGAGCTCTGAGAGAACTGCTCTTGAGAGAACAACCCTGAGAGCAGCTTCATGTGGAGGAGTGGGGATCAAACCCAGTTCTCCCAGATTAGAGTCCGTGCTCCTAACCACTACACCAAAGTGACAGGCTGTTCCAAGCAATCTAATTGGTTAGCATCAGCTGAGCAGAGAAAGTCTTGAGAGAGCTGTGTGCTAAGGAAAGATTCAGTCAGATTTCTGCCTTGACTAAGTTGAGTACTGACAGTCTGATTTCAGCCTTAGCCAAGAGCAGTTTAACAGACAGGAGAAATGGGGAAAGTTGGCAAGGAAGTTTGGGAAGTAGGCGAAGACTCCCATTGGGGCCAAAGAAAGGGGATAGATCTACTGAGAGGAGAATTTCCCTACCCACTCAAACAGGGAGTTAGCTCTGAAGTGTGCAGAGATCCCTGGTCTGGTGTGGTTAGAAACTGCCTTTAGAGACCTTAAGAGTCAGTTAAAAACTCAAGACAAGTACTGGTGTTCCAAGGAGAAGGGGTTTGGGTACTGGAAACAGTGCACCAGCTTTCTGGAAACCATAAGAATTGGACAATACTCAAAGAATGTGTGTTGGAGTGTTGGAACAAAAGCCTCTCAACATAAAGATTTTAAGTAATGTGAATAGCTTAAGAAACTCTCATTAGCCTGAAACATAGGAACCAAAGTCTATGCATGTACTGGTTTTACCTCAGAAATTTCAACCTGTGATTTTACCTGACCTTTCCTCTCTATGTTAAAAATATTTTGTTATTAGTGGGCTCCCTCAGGTTCCTGGGCTGTGTCAACAATCAAAATATCACACTGTGACAGGGTGGGACAGCCAGAATTTTCCAGGAAATAATAAAACACATGACTAGGGTGGCTCAGTCACAAAAGAGAGAGGAAAATGGAGGGAAAATCTGTGAGAGAGGGACGTGGACAGGACTGTCATAGAGCCCTTAGTTCTCCTGTTTCAGTGGTGGCCCTGACATTACCATACAAAACACTGTCAAGGGTAGGAGGTCCATCATGTCTTCTATACAGGATTCTATGAGTTAGATGATAACTCCCACATCTTTAAAAATTTCCAACAGTCAGAGTGATTTGGAGATGTGTGTAATTACACTGCTAATTTAATGAATACTGAAATCAACAGGTTAATTTTCCCATTGTAAATATTTTTGTATATTCCCCCACATATACATGTTAAAGGTTAGGGTTGCCAACCTCCGAGTGGGGCTCGTACATCTCCCAAGGTTACAGTTGACCTCCAAACAACAGATCAGTTCCCTTGGAGAAAATGGCTGCTTTGGAGGCTAGACTCTGTGTCTTTATAGCCTGCTGATGATCCTCCCCTTAACAGACCCCACCTTCCCCAGTGTACACCCCCCATATCTCCAGCAATTTTCTAACCCAGAGTTGGCCTCCCCATGCAGGGTGTGTCAGAAGATAGTTTTTTCTCTTAACATTGATGAGAAAACACACAAAAAACAATGTCATCTTGACCATGTGTCAGCGGTTATTCAGGATTGATCAGAACTGGAAAGCCCTTGAGATGCAGAAACAGCTTGGATATTTCTCCACTTGTGAGTGCTATCTGTTCCAGCATATCCTGACAGGGCATTGCTCTGCTTGTAAGAAATGCCTTTGGTGCTGTTTGCTGAGGATGTTTCTGAGGGTGTATTGTAATCATGATTCATTTTCTTGCAACAGATTCCAACTTGCAGATCTGTCAGCACAGAGCACCAACATGTTGCACTAAGAAGATGGAAGAGAGCTATCAAGCAGCTGTTCGGAGAGAGAGGATGGAAAACATCCAGACACTAAATTTTGAACTGAAATATATGATTGTTGGTCACATCACAGCTTTTCAAGGTAGGAATCATAGATTTAATTATTAAGGAACCTTTATAAAGACAAAATTATGAATGAACATAAGTGTAAGAGCCATGAACAGTGTGGAACAGTAGTCACTGCAGGTGTGGAGGAGGAGGTATTTGTGAATTTCCTGCATTGTGCAGGGTGTTGGACTAGATGACACTGGTGGTCCCTTCCAACTCTATGGTTCTATGATGAGTCAACAATGGGTCATCTTGGTTCTTCTTGCAACAATGACCAACCATAGACTGCTTTCAGGAGGATCACAAGCAGGGCATGGAGACATCAGTCCTCCCTGTTTGTCCCTCCCTCTGAACACAAAGGTCCCATTTAGTTATCATAGCTAATAGCAAGCCTATCCTCCATGTGGTTAAGACAATAGTATCTGTTGCTTGTGGGTCAAGCTCAGCACCGCATTTTAAGTCTGTCATCCATATCTTGTAGTGATGTTCAGGTTTCAGAACATGATATTAACATTCTTACATTTAAATGTTTATAATGCTTGTACTCTAGAAATGAATTATAAACAATATGCCTTCCATATTGTCCTGGTTTCAAAGGTCATGTGAATGTAGACATAAATTCAGTGTTGATTTATTAAACAAAATTTATTAAACAAAATTGAATAGAATATTTTCCCTTTGCCAATTGGTTAGCAGAGTTGTTTCAATCAAGAAGAGGCCACACTTGAGAAGTGGGTAGTATTTAGTGTGTAAAGCAGAGGTGTGCACAATTGACTCCACAATTCAAGTTTCAATAGGATATATACATTGATAAAAATATAATTGTCATCTAAAATATAACTGGAAATAAACTGATAAATATTTAAGCAGCTATCTGCTTGTTCTATGCTTTAAGAGCTGTTAGGAAGTGGTGTCTTTAAAAATAGTATTGTGTACTGGTTAGTGTGTTAGACTAGGGAGCCCCAGAGTCAAAACTTTGATCAACCATAATGTTCACTGCATGACTTTGGGCCAGTTACAGTCAGTCTAGCTTATCTCACAGGATTGTTGTGAAGGTATAATAGAGGAAGGGAGAATCATATATTCAGCCCTGAGCTCCTTTCATGAACAGCAGAATAAAAAAATGGATAAAAGCCAAAACTAAGATGTACTATTTCTCTCCTTTTGAGAAAACAGGCTTAAAATAGTATGATACTCTGACAATCTCTGAGTCATTGATAGAGTTTTGAATTTTTTTGGCTCAGTGGTAGAATACATACTTTTTGCATCTAACGTCTGAGATTCAGTCTCTATTATCTAATCTTAAACAGTTACTTTTGGGGAGCAGGGCCCTTCTGTCTGAGAGCCACTGTAAGGCAGAGTAGACAATAGTGAATTAGAGGGACTTAGTACTAGGCCTCTGTGTATGTCCAAACTAGCAATAACTTTGAATCTGTGGGCTTCAGACCATAAGCAGAAAATGAGAGCAAATGCTTTCCCCCATTGTTTGTTCCCAGTATTGCATGTTTGCATAAGTTTGGGTGTAGAGATTTGCTTTTGCTGTTGAGCATTGCAACTGCTTAGAGATAGGAAAGGGGAGGGGGATAGCAATTTGTTTCATTTCACAAAGAGCTTTGAAGAAAACAGACTTTTTTTAGTATCCCACATAGCTTGAAAATCTGGCACCGAGTCACATTTGAGCCCTCTGCTGTGCCGAAGGGGAAATATGGAGCCATTGTTGAATGACAGTGAGTTATTCAACTGATCTTTCAGCATCATTATAGAATAAAGCAAAGGTCAGAATAGATTAACCTGTCAGACCCTGAGGTCAGTCAGGCAGCTTTATTGCTTGACTTACTGAGATCAGTCATTAGACATTTCAAAGTAGCTTGAATTTACAAGCATTTTCTAGAAATGGCCGTCTAAATTATTGAATTGTAAATGGTTATAAACTTGCTTTGTCCACCTGAGGTGAGAACATGCCACAATTTCAGCTTTGCCTTCTTAAAGCCTCAAAGGTTCATTTGTTCATTTGGTTTCTGTGAGGTTTCAAAAGGCTCTCTAAACCCTTTCTTCAGATGACACTATATAAACATTCCGTTGCTCAAGCAGGGGTGCCTTGCTTTCCCCTGCCTTTGGGTTGCCTTATTGTTGTGTCACATCATTATAACATTAAAGGCGGCATGCCTCAAACTGCTCTGCTGTGGACATAAGCCCCATTAGTTTTTTCATGAGACTTCTGCTGGTGGGACCATTTAAGACTAGACCGAATATCAAATTAGGCAATTCAGAATCTGAACAATATGCTAGATCTTCAGCAACAAATGGGCACTCATGGGTTTTTATTTGTACATTCTATAGAGCATTCATTTTAATGAGAATATTGCATTTCATCACTTTTATGTCCCCCCCCCTTTTTGTTCAGTGTTTTTGTTACCTTCTGAATAGACTTGCTATCTGAGAAAATTTCAGAATGTTTCTTTGGCTTCATTTGTAGCTCCTGAACTCAGGGTTTTAACAGAATTATATTCTGGTATTGGGGTAGAAAAATCAATGTTGGGTTTTGTGTACTCTCATAAATGCCCTCTGGGGGCTACAAAGCTTTCTCTCCTGTTGCATAACCTGTTAACACTGATGAATAGTGTGTGTGTGTGTATCCCCAGAAAGCAATGTGATCAAGGTTTCTAATACCCTATGCTTACGGGCGCAGTGTAACATAATATTTAGAATGCTGAACGAGGGATGAAGAGATCCAGATTCAAATATTCGCTGAGTTGCAAAGCTTACTGGGTGAACTTGGGCCAAGCATACATTTTCACCCTACCTTACATAACTGTTGTGAGAATAAAATGAAGGTGAGAACCATGTACAGTGCCCTAAGCTGCCTAGAGGAAGGATGTAGTGTAAAGTACAATAGATATAGAAGAATGAGCATCATGTACTTTGATGTCCAAGCTGCCAAAATGAGTGGAGTCCCTTCACTCTTGCTTGTAGGCAATACTGCTATTGCCAGGAAGGGCAGAGTTTTCCTCATATGCCAGCAGCAACAGTATTACAGCTCTCAGGGAACCAGAATGGATATTGACAACCTTCAGAATGGTGCCTGGAGTTATCCTGGAATTACAACGGATATCCTGATTTACAGAGATTGGTTCCCCTGGAGGAAATGACTGCTTTGTAGGGTGGACTGTATGGCATCACATACCTGCTGAGCTCACTCCCTCCCCCAGACTCTCCCTTCTCTAGGCTCTGCCCCCAAGTCTCCAGGAATTTCACAACCTGGAGTCTGCAAGAATAGATATAGGCAATAATTTTCAAGGCAAAGATGTTACTGATACCAGCATTTTCCAGATTGCCCTAATATTCCAGTTTCAATACCCTATGTTAACTTTTTTTTCTTCTGTCCAGACAACTTTGTCTGTGCCGTCCTGGTTTCTCTCCCCCCCCCCGTTATTTCCTAAACTAGTTTTTCCACTTTTCCCCCCCATTGTGGAATGAATTTGCAAAATAGTCTCTTGCTCAAAAGGTGCAGTTTTTTCCATCTTGTGGATTGCCACCCAAACTCACCCAGAAAGGGTGGGTTTGGGCAGTGAATTTTTAAAATTTGCATGTCAGCATTTCAGTGTTGGTCCCATAGGGAGGCCCAACACCAGCAGCCAATCATTGCCTTCCTTACCATTCCGTCATTCATAGAGCAGAGTCTAGCATGTCTCTGGGTGCAATGTTCATTTTGCAGTGCATGCAGCTACCCTGAAGAAAAAGTGTTGACATCTATTTTGAGAGACTTACCAGAGCGCAGATAAGTGTATGGGTGTATTTCAGAGACTTTAGCAAGTTTTCATAAAAGTAAACAATCCATAAAGATGGTGGGGAAGAGGGCAGAGAAAGACAAACCAGTAAAAGTGAAACCAGCTGGCTTGAGCCCTTGACCGGAAGAGACCACCGAGCTTTCCAAAATGTTGGCAGAGTCCTTGCAGCCTCTGCTGGACCAGATGACTAACATCGAACAACAGCTGACGAATTTAAATCAGGGATTCTATCCTGAAAACAACTACAGGAACACCCTTGAAAATTGGGGACAACACTATCAGGATTCTAAAAGACATTCCATTTGAAATAAGGAAAAAGAGAAAGAAATATAAAGACTTACTCCTTTTCCTTCAAACAGCATCGTCTACAGATGGTTAATTCCAGAAGGAGTCATTTTCAAACTACAAGCTAAAAAAGAAAAGATTGACTCTGTTTTCAAAGCACGTGAGTTCCTGAGAGTGCAGCTGGGAGAGCCAGACGAAGTCGAGAAGGAAGAAGATGACAGCAAATCCAGTGGTGAATTGGACTCGGGGTCTTCCGACGAGACTCTCTTTCTGATAAGGGGGCGGCTGCCCCTAAGCATACATACAAATTGAGGATTAGAAAAGATAAGAGAAAATGAAGGCTAAAGGACTCTGAAGTATACCTTTAAACTTTAGTTTTATTGTGGGATGCTATGGGGGTTCTCTTGAATGGTTAAAACATTGGATAAAAAGACAAAAAAATTAGCATAGCCGACTATGTTCAAAGTAATATTAGCAATTTAAGATTAACATTTATACAAGCTGTTGTGATGATCTCCTATTCTTGGGGTTTTAGTTAGTTGTGGTTTTCTTTCCTTTCTCCCTAGATGTAGTTACCCCTTCCCAATTTTTACGTTGTAGTTTGTAGTCTATTAAAAATGCAATAAAAAATCCCCTCCAGGGGGCCAAAAATAAATAAATAAAAAGAACTTTCCAATTTAACTAGAAGTTTTCATGAAGTTTGTACCAGTTGAGCTGAAGCAGAACTTCCCTTACCAAGGTTCTGCAATAGAGACTCAAGACTCAGTTTTAGTGATTTTTTCCCCTAGTCATGTTGCAGAGGTCAGATAAAACCCAGGGCTGAGTATCTTCTGGAACTTCTGAAAAGACCTATTTAAAATGTAGGTTCCCAGTTCTGAGCCTAATGATGAGCTGGGTTTCCTTTTTAGCAGCAAATTTTGAAATGTTTACACTTTAGTTTTGGGTTTGTTTTTTTTAAATG